CCGTTGCTGGTTTTGCATCGGGACAAGGCGGTTCTCCGTCCTCGGCCGGCGTTCCTGCCGAAGGTTGTGTCGGCATTCCATCTGAATGAGGACATTGTCTTACCTTCCCTGTGTAAGTCCATAGGAAGGAGCATGCGCTCCACTGTTTGGATGTAGTTCGCGCTCTTCGTGTTTATTTGGAAGCTACGGCTTCTTTCCGCGAGACCGACTCCCTGTTCGTGCTCACGGAGGGTCCTCGTAAGGTTCGGGCCGCGTCGGCGGCTACCATCTCTAGGTGGATTCGTAATGTTGTGACTCAGACGTACACCGTTAAGGGGCGTGAGCCTCCGTTTCCTGTCACTGCCCATTCTACTAGGGCTGTTGGGGCTTCCTGGGCTTTCCGCCATGGGGCCTCTGTTTCTCAGGTTTGTAAGGCCGCTACTTGGTCTTCTGTTCACACCTTTGTTAAATTTTACAAGGTGGGCGTGTTAGCATCGGCGGATGCTGGTTTGGGGCGCAAAGTGTTGCAGGCGGGGCTTTGAGGGTTCTTTTGGGTGTTTTGTTTGTTGTTGCCCATCCCTCAGTGTGTTACTGCTTGGTGACGTCCCTACCATTCAGGATCTACGATCTGTTGCCCTGTGTCCTTCAATGAACGGGAGAGAAAATAGGATTTTTGTACTCACCGTAAAATCCTTTTCTCTGTTCATTGAAGGCCCCGCCCTCTTTTATGGGGTGTACACTCCTAACTGCTTGTTACTTTTTAGCTCCTTACTCCTGACGCTAGGCAAAAAACTGGAGACTTGTCAGCAAGTGAGGGGTTGGGCCACCAGCAGGGGCCGCCCCTAGGCTGTCTTGTCTTTTCGTTATGTGCCTAGCGTCCTACTCCTGCAGGTGGCGATATACCCTACCATTCAGGATCTACGATCTGTTGCCCTGTGTCCTTCAATGAACGGAGAGAAAAGGATTTTACGGTGAGTACAAAAATCCTATTATCCACAAATAGATGCATTTAAATTGGCACCAATTTAGTCTTTTAGAAGGGGTTGCACAGTATTAAACTCAGTGGTGAGATCAGACTTTATACCAATAAAGAAAGTTTAACCTTTTTGGGACCCATGAGAACAGGATCTGTTGCCTGTCTCTGTTGTATACAATGCTCTGCAATGATTAGATGGGAGTCGTTTCCACACTCGCGTCAAGGAGCACAGATTTATTAAACATAATTTAACATGTCAGTTCCTATGTTTATGTTAAATGCCCTTGTGTGTTGTACTACATTGGGGGAGATTCATGGCGATTGATTTAATCCCTTGGCCATGGAGAGGTGGCAATAAGGAATTATTGATTTAGAGTTGTGTCCCAATACTTTTGGCAATATTGTGTGTGTGTGTGTGGTGTATGCAGGGATTGAAAAATGTTAGCGTGCCTCACTAGTCAGTCAAAAATTTCACCAGTCAGCATGACCGGACTATAGCCTCGAAAAAAAAAGTTTTCCCTAGGTTGTGTTATGGGTAAAAATAAATGTTTTATATTTTTGGTAAAATGTAAAAGACGGATCACGCCGGGTAAACAGACACCAAACATGTAAAGTCTTAAAATTACAACAGCAAAAAGTTTCCCAGCACACTCACCAGCCAGCCTGCGAAAAACTTGTCTCACCACTAAGGTTAAAAACAGAGGTTTAGATACACGTCCTTTGCAGAAAATGTGACCGCACTGCCTCGCCAAGGCACCTCTATATAGTGCGTTCTTAACTCTAAACTATGAGAGTCTCCATCTTGGAGCACATGTAGCAAAAGATAAGATGGAGACTCTCATAGTTTAGAGTTAGGACTGCACTATATAGAGGTGGGGGTGCAGCTTTTTCACATTTTCTGCGGTGAGACAATTTTTTTGCATGCTGCCTGGTGAGTGTGCTGGAAAACTTTTTGCTGTTGTACTGTATAAAGCCCTTCCATGTGCACCTTGCTGTAAAGCTGGTGACAAATTGATGAATGCGTTTTGCCATTTGTTTTGCAAGTCTTAAAGTTGCGCGTGCCTGCAAAATCACAAACGACCACACCAAAAATTGCTCATAGGCGACGCTTTTACTGCACATCATTTTAGTGTTATCCGTGATTAATGGCCCAAGAATTATTACTCTCACTCCGACGTTGGCGGCGATATGTAACATGTGCGGCACAATAGACGCAATCATCGTTTTCACACGTAGGCGTCTCTAGAGGCGCCCGATCGCTTGAATATAAAGCTCCCAGCCAGCCGTTTAATTACAACGGCCTGCCGGGTAGCTACTTGTCGATGTATGTGACCTGGAATAAAAATGCATTTGCTGTCACTCTCTGCAAACTCAAGCCACTCTGTCACCCACCATATGATTACACATAGACCTGAAGAAAGCAGCAAGATGTGGAGAGTATTTGTGGTTGAGGTGTAAAATTCAAGAAATGCATGAGATGTAAAGTGTTTTGAAGGCAAAACATATTAATAACATAACATAAGTGTAAAAACTTGTATGCATATTTATAAGGTCACATATAATTGTGGTTTTTTGTTGTTGTTTTTTTTTACAGCTTGGGAGCATCTATCCAACCCCCACCACCTAATCAATCCTTTAAGCAAAGTAGCCAGGTAAGATATGTTCTTAAAATGAATATATAGTGAATTCCTCAGTGATCTTCTAGGGTGGCAATTTGACATGGGAAGATAAATCTACCCACCAGACATGTGGTATCATTTACTGGGAATAAAAGGTGCATGAAAGAATTAATAGCTTCATGCAACAATAAATTAGAAAACAGAAAAATCTGCTGTGTCAGAAATGCATAGAAAGTCATCTTCTGCCTGCCTGAAAGAATTTGCTTTCTAGCATTAAGGATGAATTGACATCAACTTTTAAATCCTTAAGATGCTTGTTCTCTGACCTAAAACGCTAAAGCCAACCAAGATGTTTCACCTGCTTCCACTCTATGGTGGTAAGTGTGTGGAAACAGAAGAGGAGGAAATGATTCCTTTCCTACACTGGAAGAGGAAAACACGTCAAGGAGGATACCCTATGTGCAACATTTCTTTGGAGGATGTGGATGACTGCGTAAAAGCAATCTATGAGGGCTAGTTCACACCAGATGCAGTTGTGATGCAGTCTGTTCAGTTTGGCAGCTGCATCAAAATCGTGTCACAATTCTTTCCAATGGGATTTCTGTGCTCTGTTCACACCAGTTGCAGTCCATTCCGATGCAGTCAGAAAAAAATACTGCTCGTCTCATTTTAGCTGCACCTTATTGCAACTAAACGCATGCAATCGCACTGGACTGCACCTGAAAGCCCATTTTAAGCTAGGAAAAAAAACTGCGGCAAAACGCATGACACTGTAGCTGCACAGAAGCACGCAGTTATGGTGTGAACTAGCCCTGAGACGTGTGACATTCAAGGAGAAAACCTATATATGTCTTTACATGATCATAGGCATCACTGCATAGAACGGGGAGGGGATCGATGAACGGAAGTTCGTCGACCTCCTCCCCGGGGACACCAAGGACGCCGGGCCCGTAGGAGCGGCAACGGAGCGCGGGGGGGCGTCCCCTTTTTCGGGGACACGGAAGCGATCTGGCGACGGGTAAGTCGCCAGAATCCCTTCTGTTGTGAAGCCGACAGTCGGCTCTACAAGTTTAAACAGACACCCGGCGGCAAAAGTCGCCGGGAGTATGTTTAAACAGCCCCGATGCTGGCGACGTACTCTGTACGTCAGTCACGAAGGGGTTAAGCTGGCTTGTGCCACATCTTTTGTGTGCTGTAACCTTGAACCTTGCTAACCTGTAACCTTACTTGCACAAATGAAAGCACACCTGGAAGCAGGAATATCTAAAGAGATGTTGGAATCATTTCCCACACTTTCCAAAGCAATAAGAATGATCTCTAATGCCTTGGCTGAATCAGTGACGATGTTGGCTAAATCTGCAACTAATTAATTTTTCTTATAGAGCATTGTGGCTCAAAACCTTGGTTTGACGATTTTTCTAGGGATATGCTGTCTTGGATCATACAACTGAGAGAAAGCAGGTCTTTCCCTCAGAAAGAAGAAGGCTTGAGGCAAGCATTTTTTCCTTCACTCAAAGAACAAAGGCTAGAGTTGGGAAGAATTAGGCCAGAAAAAACAGGGCTGGGACAAAAAAGCATGTTAAAAGGAGGGGGAGGGAGGGGGGTGTTTAACCCTCCTGGACAAACAAAGGCCCAATTACTCTCCGGGCTCAGTGAGTGGGAGGTTTAGGGCTCTTCCTACTGCAGTTGCAAAGCATAATCTCCAATGTCTACATTCAGAGGCTCATAGGTGAGGGTAACCTTCCGGAGTTTTCCAGTCCACCATCTTCAATGTTTTTTCTGACAACTCTTCCAAGGGATTAAGTGTAAGCCTCAGCTTTGATATTGCTCCTATGGGAACTAATAGATCAGCCATTCTGCAGCCTCTTTGTGTGAACCTTGGGCTGGGGTGCTGCACATCTGTAAGGAAAAATAGCCCTGGGCTGCTGGTCTCAGACCGAATCCCGGAAGTCTGCCAACTGGAGAGGATTTGGGACGCTCTGCAGGGCTTCATGCAAGTTCTGAGGGGGTCTAACGCTCCAGATTCTGTCCAAAAATGCAACCACAGTGGCATACTTAAACAAGCAGGGAGGCGCTCGCAGCTTACCCCTGTGCCTTCTGGCTAACTAGATTACTGCCTGGGCAGAAATGTATCTTCTGCCTTCTTTTGACAGTCCACCCGAAGTGGACTCGCAACCTTTTTGCAGACTTTTTCATTCATTTCAGGAATAAGAACGGATTCTGAATCCATAGGTTTTCCTTATGATAGTGTTGAGACAGGGTTCCCACATCTGTTTGCCAACCAATCAAATGCAAAAGCGGAAACTTTCCCTGAGTAGAGAGGTTGCTGCTCTCTGCTTGGATGCATTAGCTCATCCGTGGAGCTTTTGCCTTTGCTACGCATCCTCTCCTTTTCAAGCTTCTGCCGCTGATTCTAAAGAAATTATAGACAGGAAATACCATTCTGATAACTAGTGGCTCCCTTTTTATCCAAAAAGGCCATGGTTTTCTACCCTGCTTTGTCTAGCAGAAGCCCCTCCTCTCATGTTACCTACAAGGGAAGAACTTCTCTTTCAGGCTAGGTTCACACCAGATGCAGTGTGTTTTCCGGCCAGAACGCACTGCATCGCAATGCGGCCGGCTCACTTTTTTGCAGGGCAGGAGGTGGCTTGGTGGGCCATTGAAGTGAATGGCACCATAGCCACACCCTCCGGCTGCAATGCGATCATCCGCACGCGATTGCAAGGCACATTGTGCCTGCGGTCTGGTTTGGTGCGATCAAAATAGTGCTTGCAGGATTTTGATCGCACCGGACCACATGCACGCTGGCTCTCAAAATACCTGAACAATCTGATTGGATGCAGGCATTGTTCAGGTATTTTGAGAGCCAGCGGGGCCGACCAGCAAGATACTGAAGCTTGGCCCAGTAGGAGATTCTTCCATCCACACAGTTTAGCGTAGATGGAGGAATCTGTTGCACATTTTCCATCTGACCATAGAACATTTGCAGATAATCTGTAGGTGTATGACCAGCTTTAGACTGAATGAAAGCATGGATACATGCTCCACAGGAGAGAAACAAACAGTAGCCAGCCAGCAAAGGGGCAGCGAGGCTCAAGGCCCACCACTGATTCGGCCTGAACCAGGGGTGTGGAATTCGTATCGCCCGACGCCTGGGACTTGTAGTTCCGGACGTCGGGCAAGTGTTTTTTGTCAGTGTTTTAGCCCTGCTGTGGACAAGTAGCAGGGCTAATTTTTTTTTTCCGAGCGTCGAGAGCGGGTGCGTGGAGCCGCGTGGAGTGCTGGCCGAGCGGGGGGCGTGGACCTGTGATGGAGCGGTGACAGTGCCGGACGGTGGGGCTGTGACACTCCTGTGGAGCTGTGCTACTGCACATTCCTGTCACAGGAGTTCTAGCACAGTGCTGTGCTAGACTTCCTGTGTTGGAGGTGACAGGGTCAATAAAGAGTGCCTGTCACCTCCAAATGCTATCACGCAGGCTTTTTTTAGCCCCCATGTGATCGCAATAAAGTTAAGTGAAAAAAAAAAAAATAGTTAAAGACTTAAAGTAGAAAAAAACAAAATCAAAAATGAAAATGTAAAAAAATAAAAAGGTGATAAACTAAAAATAATAAAATAAATGAAAATTTAAAAATGTTTACAAAGTAAATAAAAATTCTAAATATGAAAACCAACCCCCTGCCCCCACCATCTGCATGCAAATGAATGCGCAGTGTTGTGAACCGCGATCGTGTGCACCCTCACGGGCAGGGTGGTATTGCGGCGGGAAACCGCGCAATCTGACTGGGGTGCCATTAGGAAATAATGGCACAGCCAGCGCAATCGACGGTGGTGTGCTGTCCGTTTTCTAATGGCACCCCAGTTATGCCAGGCAGATCACGCATTTTCCCGCTGCAATACTGCCCAGGCGGTCCCACATGATCGCGGTTGAAAAACGGCGTGTGTCGGGAAAAACGGTGCATGTACCTTTTTTCAGCCATTGCTACACAGATGTAACCCCATACATGCAGATGCAAACGCTGTGTGCAACTGCACACGATCGCGGGTCCCGGGATTACCCAAGTCTGCACCAACCCTAAACGGTAAATTCACTTTACCAAGTGATTAGGGAAAATGGAAATACCCGCACAAATCTCTCTCCCGCTATACTTACCTGTCGGCGAATGGTCCTTCCCATTGGCAACCAAATCAGCATTGATAAATCCCCCCCGGCATTGATAAATCTGAAACGGAGTCGAAAAACGGTGAGTTCCCAATATCCCGATCAATCCAGCATGTGCAGTCCACTTTAATCAATCTTCCTCCACCTCTCCTCTATTGTCCTTGTTCCCAAGGATAATCATTTATCAGCAAGCGTTAAAGTCCCTCTCCACTCTATCCAAATTTAAAAGGGAAATAAAAAAGTTTAGGCTACAGTTGTACTTTAAGGGCTCCTGCACACGGGCATGAATACAGGCGTATAGGCATACAACACGCCTATATAAGAAGCTGCATTGTACTGTTCTTAGGCTTGTATGGACAGAAATCGATTTATGTAATTGCTGGGCACCCCAAAAACAGACACGTTTTACACTGTATGATTATACACTTTTATTTGCACCTTTGTGCATAAGCTCTTCAAAGGTGCATAGCATTATGCTGGTTTTGGGACTCTGCTGTAAAGCTGCAAATTGGTCCATTTTGAATTGCATCTTAAACTTGGTGGGTAGATTTACTGACCTCTATACAATACAGGGGTGTGGAATTCGTATGGCCTGACGCCCGGGACATTTAGTTGCGGGCGCCGGGCAAGTTTTTTCCCCCACTGTTTTAGCCCTGCTACGGACAAGTAGCAGGGCTGGTTTTCTTAAATGAGTGGCGAGAGCGGCGCTGCGAGCGGGAGGCGTGGATGGGGGGCGGGGACGAAGCGTGGAGCGCTGAGAGCGGGGGCCGTGGAGTAGTGATGGAGCAGTGACAGGCTCTGTCACCTCCCTCAGCCTCTGTCCATGGCGGCCGCTGCTCGTTCCTGTTACAGGAGTTCTAGCCCAGTGCTAGAACTCGTGTTGGAGGTGACAGGGTCAATAAAGAGTACCTGTCGCCTCCAAATGCTATCACACGGGATTTTTATCCCCTGTGTGATAGCAAT